ACAAGATTCATTCATTTAAACAATTGTGAAATTTAAAAAACCAAAATTATACATTCTTTGGACTGTCAATAAAGTGTTTGGACAACGGCTGTTTGCGATTTAGCAATTCCCTTTTATGCCGATCCCGTTAGAAATGAGCGATTTTTGTTTGTCTTGCCTTTCGTCTTTGACCTCGGCAAGCATATTCTGTTAAAATTTGTCAGTGCAAGATCATTTCGCAAACAAAAGTCAATCTAAAAAATAACAGCATTTGATTTGGCAGGGAAAATTGGCATATTATTATGTAAGGATCTGATCCATTATAGGATAGTTTTAGAAAGATACCGGTTTCAATGATTCACATTAAATGAGGCACCTGCTCAATCGCATCACGGGCCAAAGGAAACCGCTTTTCAGTACTAATTATTGAAGCAGCTAGCTCACTGTTTAACGGGACACATTTCTTAATCTATCCTGTAATGGACCAGATCAAAATTTTGGGGATTACCTATCACTATTCTTAATAATATCCCTTAATCTCTCTCAGTCTACCTCTTCCGGGCACACACATTTGATGGTTGTCACATTATTTGCTCGGAAGTGGCTCCCTTATAACTAGGACACTCCTCCAAGGAGTCTACACATTAATTCATTCGACAATCGATCGGTTTCCCAATCTGGGGGCTATAATATAACAACGCGGAATTCAATAGATAATATTTTTCATAATTTCACAATTGTTTAAATGAATGGATCTTGTTAAGTTTTTTGTTAAATAGCTTTAAAAAGTCCATTTGATAGTAGAAAGATAAGAAACAAAATAAAAGTCAATAATAAAAAAAGGCTGTTTTTGCTAAAGAAATGAGGGAATATGATTTTTTCCTGTGTCCAAACACTTTTTCGACATACTGTACTTAATCACAAATACGTAAGTACAAACATGTGCACGTATGTATGTATGTACGTATGTATGTATGTATGGGCTTATGTAAATATTTCGACTAAAGTCACAAACTTAAGTCAAGTGGCTCACTGGCCGCATTATCGCTATCAAGATTGATATAGTACTACATTTCACAATAAACACAAACAGAAAGCAAAGAACAGGCGTGCTCTCGGCGACAGAGCCCGACCAGAAAATACCCTGTAGCCAGCTTTTTAATGTACATATATTCCAAATTTGAAGTCGTCAGCTCTTATAGCCTTCAGGGTACAATCAACGGATCGATTTTTATCGATTTTAGTGAAATCGATTGCAGTGAAATGGAATACGAGGAATTATATTAGGCCAAACTTGGTGTCTCTTGCCTGAATCGTCTATGACACCAGATAGACAGACAGACACCTCATTATGGACGCAAATAATTAAACTCTTCAATAATATACATATATATCGTATATATATCTTATGGTATCCAAGATGTTTTCTTCTGACGTATCACATTCAAATTTGCACAACTTTTGACGCATGCTTAACGGCTACAGGGTATAAAAACAAACTCATAATAAAATACATACCGATATACATTTGAACATTCGTAAAATCAGCTACGTAGCTCTAGAAATAGTATCAGTTAAGACATATGTGTATGTATATATAAAAGTGGGTGTGACCACAGCAAGTGATTTGCCTTAGTCAGTGTTAGTCACAGCTAATCCATCTGACAAAATATCGTGATCCCCAAAACCGAACCATCTGCCATTGACTCAAAGTGAAGCTCATATTATAAACTGGCTTATAACATCACTCAAGCAAAATCTTGGAAACACGATTGCATTTGATTGCTTTTTAATGTTAATCGGGTGTCACCTTTACAATTTTTGTATGTTTTCGTCCTCACTTCTTAGAAGAAAAATATTAATCATCACATTGATGCTTTTTTCAACTCAACTCCAAGAAATTTCAAAAGCAAACGGACAAGATTTCAAGTCATTTTACTCGTTTGTTTTTGTTTAGTATCCTTTCGATATCAGATACTTTTCATAATCGACTTTATACACATATGCATACATACACACATACTCATGCAGATTTCTCCTGGTCGAGCTCTCTCGATTAGAGCATTCTTACTTTTTTTTTATCGCTCCTTATGCAAGCTAGTCTATCGGATTTCAAGCTTTGTGGGTGGAACTTGAAATATGTATAGATCGTGTAATATGGGGATTTGTCGAAACTTTGCACAAATAAATGTGGCTCGTGTCGTGATTCGAATTCTCAGGTGAGACTCTCTATCAAAGACTTGAAAATGGCAATCAACTTTTGCTAAGCGCCATAAAGATATTCGGACTAAACTCACTGGATACGAGTGTTATTATGCTAACAATTTTGCCAAGATTAGATTTACTAGACGTAATCATCGCCGTAATCAAGATTGTAAATGACTCACATATATATTTATATCTACATCTATATATATATATATATATATATATATATATATATATATATAAATGTCTATTTATTTGTACTCAAGTGGGATGCAATTTGTTAAATTTGAACTTGAATCTCTAAGTTAATGTCACTTTCGAAATATTGTAAATAATAAATAAAATAATAAATAATACAAGAACAACGTTTATAATGCTTTTTATCTCAGTTGTGCTCAGGAAACGGTCTAATTTGTGTTACTTAATATCATAAAACGCTGCCATTTTGCTTTAAATCGATTTTCCTTTTATATATATTTATTTTAGATTAAATGAAGTTTTTGCAGGCTCTGAAACATATTGCAAAACGTCCATAATATTTTGAGCCACAAATCGATTTCATTTTGTGATTGGTACATTTGGATTGGTACATTTTGATGTTTATATGTACATATGTTTTTAAGTGTCATCAATTCCATTATAGTGAATTTTGACCAATTTTGCTCAAGTTCTGTCTTTGCTCCTCCATTTGCCATGCACTATTTATGCATTGTATTGCATTGTGTTGTACATACATATGTACATCACTACACATACATCTATCAATGTACATATGTATGTACCATAAAACTGTTGCATATCAAAGTGCTATCGTTATTGCCATGGATGGGACACATCGTTCGATGTTCATTTGGTGCTCGGCTTCAGAGATATTATTGAATCAGTGCGTTGGCGTTGAAGCAACAGCTCCAACGGTATCATAGATTATTTACTCCCTATATGCAGATACTCACATATAAACTATAGGTACATATGTATGTATTTGTGGGCTTGTCCCCCACCTCCTCCTCCGCCACCTCCTCTACGCTTCAATCGCATTGCAAACTAATGCGCAATTTGCTTGTTAAGTTGCCCATGACTCAAAATGTTTTGCTCGCTGGCTGGCAATACGAGCTTTTTTATTGTTGTTGTTGTTGGTGTTGTTTTTTTTTTTGCTATTTGTTCTTTTTGCATGCACAAAATGTCAGCCCATGCTGCCTGCATACACGTACAGCTATCAGATACTTGTGTATACAGAGCACACACACACTTCGTACAAGGTACAGGATCTGCTGCACGTCCTCATCAGAGGAAAGTTGCATACGTGAGTCGCAGCATGTTCTGCTGCCACCTCCCTGGGCTGTTCTGGCCACCCAAGCACCCAAGCACCTAATCGGATAAACTCACTTGTGCGTCGACTGAGAGAAATCGTTAAATCGCTTGAGTCGCAGCCGAAACGATACAGAAGCGCTCTCTCTCGCTCTCTCTCTCCATTTCTCTCTCTTCCTCTCTCTCTGTCTTCGTCGCTATTGTGCGCGTCGTGTGTGTGTGTGGTGAGTTTCGTGCTGGCTGAAATTCAACACAGCACCAGTCAGTCAGGCAGGCAGGCAGGCAGGATATGCGACTGCATGAATTTTGCCAGATACAAACACTGCTCAGCTCAAAGCTCCGAGGCCGCTGTTCGGGATTTGGGTCATGCTCATGCATCTGGCCATATACTAAATACGCCACGCTGGGCCTGCGGGTGAAGCACCTGAACCAAGGCCATCGAGTCAAGCCTTAAGCCTTATGCGTAGAATGCTCTAGAATGCGTTCATACTTCTTGCTCTCTTCAGCTGTTCCTCATACATACATACAAACATACAATCATACAAACATACGAAAATACAAACATACAAACATACAAACGTACAACATACATACAAACATACAGTTGCGGTCAAAATAACAGTAGTGCTCTTTCGCAAAGCATTTAATACAAATATGACTCATTTTATTTTGTCCAAATCGAAACCTCTTCAAAATCTTCAATATGACTGAAAAATGCAATTGTGCAAAACAACAAATTTTTGGTTTCTCATCTGGGAATGTTTTAAAATACTAAATACCATATATTTTTCTTACTTTTTAGTTGACATTAAATAATTAAATAGATACTATATCATATGAAATATACCCACCCATCATATGTAGTTGTTAGAAATATTATTTAGCCACAGGGAAAGCTGAGAATACTTATATAATAATAATATAATAATTTATTAAGAATAAATATAAAATAAATAAATAATAATAAATTTAAAGACTTCATTTTTGTTGTTAATAAATTTTATAGCTGTGCCGACTTTTAATGTTTACTTATCTTCAGTATTTATTGCGTGTGTTTAAACACAATTTTCATATTATTTGAACTGTATTTGAACTATATTTAAAATATTTTTTTTATTTCAACATTTTCCATTTTCCAAAAAATATGTGTGCACTACTATTATCTTGACCGCTGCTGTACATACATATACATATACATGTACATACATGCATGCAATTGGCCGCAAACAATTGACAATTGATAAATGCCCTTTTCCACTCTTAATCTGGTCAATAGAATTGGCTTAAGGCCAAAGCGATTTACATGTGAAATTATTTCTCTTCTATTTTTCTCTACACGTAATTAGTTTAAATATTCATTTTGAATTTTATATTGATGGCAAACTCAGTCGGTGAGGATTAGTTGAAATGTGTTTTAAAGTTGTTTTAAAGTTGTTTAAGATTTTATGAATATCTAATTGCTTACTCTCTCTGACACTCTATCTCTGTCTCTGTCTGTTTTGTAGATTGTGGCACGTCGCCATGACCTGAAGCTGATTGTGACGTCGGCAACGATGGATTCGACAAAGTTTGCAACATTCTTTGGCAATGTGCCGACGTTCACCATACCGGGACGGACCTTTCCGGTGGATGTGATGTTTAGCAAGAATGCGTGCGAGGATTATGTGGAGTCGGCGGTGAAGCAGGCGCTGCAGGTGCATCTGACGCCCAACGAGGGGGACATGCTGATATTTATGCCCGGCCAGGAGGATATCGAGGTGACGTGCGAGGTGCTCGAGGAGCGCCTCAGCGAGATCGACAATGCGCCCGAGCTGAGCATATTGCCCATCTATTCGCAACTGCCATCGGATCTGCAGGCGAAGATCTTCCAGAAGAGTGCCGATGGGGTGCGCAAATGTGTGGTCGCCACAAATATAGCGGAGACATCGCTAACCGTTGACGGCATCATCTATGTGATCGATTCCGGCTACTGCAAACTGAAGGTCTACAATCCCCGCATCGGCATGGATGCCTTACAGATCTATCCCATTTCGCAGGCGAATGCCAATCAGCGTTCGGGTCGTGCCGGCCGCACTGGTCCCGGCCAGGCGTATCGCCTCTACACCCAGCGACAGTACAAGGATGAGCTGTTGGCCCTCACCGTGCCGGAGATACAGCGCACCAATCTGGCCAATACGGTACTGCTGCTCAAGTCGCTGGGCGTTGTCGATCTGTTGCAGTTCCATTTCATGGATCCACCGCCGCAGGATAACATCCTCAACTCGCTGTATCAGCTGTGGATATTGGGTGCACTCGATCACACTGGCGCCCTGACCACGTTGGGTCGACAAATGGCCGAGTTTCCACTGGATCCGCCACAATGCCAGATGCTCATCGTTGCCTGTCAAATGGAGTGCAGCTCCGAGGTCCTCATCATTGGTGCGTCCACTCAATTAAGATTCTATATATACCCCTGAACAGAAGCTGGCCAAAGGCTAAGATAACTTTGATAACACTCTGATAACTATCTAGGTTTGGTCGCAATTTCACATTCAAGTTTCACGTCTCAAGATTCAAGAATATCTTCATTTGGGATATGCTATACATATATATATATATATATCTGTATCATACATGCTAATGAGTTTTGGTAATCGGTGAGTTTTGCTTAGGATATGCACATTCCAAATGTAATGTTTATTCCTGAATGCTCTCTCAAAAATGTTATCAGCATTTTAAGTGTTGTTTTTATAACAAGATTTCATCCGATAGTTCCTATGACAGATGCTGCTGACTGCAGCAAAACGATGGATCTGTTTTAATAATCAAATGCTGAAAGATAATTTGCTACCCTCTGCAGGAACAGCATTTTCAACAGATTGTTCCAAAATGGCAACATAATCTTCGATATACAGTTCTACGTATCAAGTTAGCAACCTTAAAACCTCAAAAGAAATTCAGAAAAACAGATTGTGATCTAAACGTTGGGTTCATGTTTTTGCTTTGTTTTTCTTTTCAGTTTCCATGTTGTCGGTGCCATCGATATTCTATCGGCCCAAGGGCCGCGAGGAGGAGGCGGATGGTGTGCGCGAAAAGTTCCAGGTGCCCGAATCGGATCATCTCACCTACCTCAATGTCTACTTGCAGTGGAAGCAGAACAAGTAAGCAACACTTTTCTCTCTCTCTCTCTCTCTCTGTCTAATTCACTCGATGTATCTCTGTCTCGTTCTGTAGCTATAGCTCCACATGGTGCAACGAGCATTTCATACACATCAAGGCGATGCGAAAGGTGCGCGAGGTGCGTCAGCAGCTAAAGGACATTATGACGCAGCAGAAGATGAACGTGAAGTCGTGCGGCACCGATTGGGACATTGTGCGCAAGTGCATCTGTTCTGCCTATTTCTATCAGGCGGCACGGCTGAAGGGCATCGGCGAGTATGTGAATCTCCGAACGGGTATGCCCTGCCACCTGCATCCGACATCGGCGCTTTATGGACTGGGCACCACGCCCGACTATGTTGTCTATCATGAGCTGATTATGACCGCCAAGGAGTATATGCAGTGTGCCACTGCTGTCGATGGCTATTGGCTGGCGGAATTGGGACCGATGTTCTTTTCGGTCAAGGAGACGGGACGCAGTGGTCGCGACAAAAAGAAACTGGCCGCCGAGCATCTCAAGGAGATGGAGGAGCAAATGTTGCAGGCCCAGCACGAGATGGAGGAGCGTAAACAACAGGCGGCCCAGCGCGAGGAGCAACTGGCGGCCAAGCAGGAAATCGCTACGCCAGGCAATGCAACGCCCAGACGGACCCCAGCTCGCATCGGCCTCTAAGATCTAAGAACATTATTATCATTATTATTGTGTATTTCAATTTCGAGCATATGTATGTATTTGGACTTTTCCAGAAATTTCATTATGACCTGGATTAATGTTAAGCTAAATAAACCTTCCTGTCCTTCTAACATGTAAAATATGTGTCTTTTAAGTACGGGAACAGGTTAAGTGTAGAGTTCATTTGGCTATACAAAATTCTTCGATACTGCATCAGTATTTTTCAGGGCTCAAGGAACGTGTCAAAAGTCACCAGGGAGAAATATAAAGCATACGTTTGTGCGATCAATAAAACTCGAAGCTCCAATGCGATATCAATCAGATCAAAAGTGGAATAGCATACTTTGAGGATTGAACAAAGCTATTTTCCGAAAAATGACTCGAATCCGGACAAATCCTTGTACATTTTTAACGCACATGATGCAGTAGAACCGTGGAGATCAGCTCTGTGGAACTGCAAACACTTGTTAACATTTCACTTGCAGGGTGATTGAAGCTGCGAGGACGATTTGTACGTCATTTAGTCAGGGGCTAACTAGGATGTCCAAGGACTTGGCTGTGCTATGTGCAATTTGCTGTGTAAAGAAAATCTTTGTTGTTTTTAGCTTTTTATAGGACTTTCGTCCCATTACGAATCAGCAGTCCAAGGGATATTTTTGGTCCAAGGTAAAATCATTGAAACGACCAGGTTACATTAAAGTCAATGGGTTTAACGTGAGCACCAGCCGGAATGGCGTAATCTCACGGTGCTAAACACAGGAATTAATTTAAGCGTCAATTACCGCCCCATTGGAACTAATATTCCGCAGGTACCAATTTAACGTCACTACTGTTTGGTTGTGAACTTCCACCTTGGTTTGGAGGGCCGCCTATTTAAAACGACTTCCGATCTATGGGTCACCAACAACACGCTGAGTCAATAGCTCTACCCGCATTTGGGTGTCAAACCGCAGCCACCACGAAACTCCCCGAAGGGCCGCAACCAAAAATCAGGACGGAACTGAGTTCCGCGGACTCCTGATTACCCGTGGTACCGGAAAGCAAGCCTCCGGTCAGGCCTCGTACCTGATGGGTACTACCAATTTTAACTCCAAAACAGTTACGGGTTGGTGACCCAAAAAGAAGAAAAGATATCACTGTACGGAATAGAATGCGAATTGATGTAAACACCAAATCGCAGATGGAACAGTACTGTGGGGAGCGAGGCCTATTCCTTCCTCTTCCGCAAACAGCGGTATTCATAACTGAACGAATTCAGACCGCTAGGCGGCCAGCTGATATCCCCTACAAAAGCGCTGAGAGCCGAGGGCCGAGACCACCCCTGAACACCCCAAACGCCCGTCGTACCGGATCAGTCCTCCGGTCAGAACTCGTACCAGAAGGATACTTCCAGTTTTGCTCCATAAAGCAGGGACTGGTCACCACCCGAACGCAACTCAGCGATCCATTCACACACCCCCACAATCATACCCCCATCATACATTCAACATTCACTCAACTTCTCCACATATGAGACGTCGTCTGGCAAATGCAGCCCGTGCAAGATCACTCATTCTCCTTACCCCTTCACAAGTGGAGAATACTTGACTTACGTCAAACCCACCACTACCCCGCGTTATCCCAAGCACACTTAGATCTCAGGCTCAGGCTTCGACGCCCTATCTCTAAGTCCAGAGGGGCTGCTCCTAACAATACCTGCATTGCCTCCGTGGAGACAGTGCGGCATACAGGCAGACACCCTAACATCATCACACGCTGGCAAGCCAGCACATTCTTTCTGCCTACAACAGTCGAAACTACTTTACACCATACAGACGATCCATAAGTTGCACAGGCAACAAATATACCATTGTAGACGGTGCGAGCAGCAGATCTGCTGAGGCCCCACTCACTTCTCAAAATCCGACGCACTTGTCCAACCACACTGAGCAATCGCCCTTTCACATATGAGACCCCAGGGGTCGTCCTTATTGCGCTCCAAAAAGGAACGCCATTCATCTTCTTTCACTCTTACAAGCATTTGCTTGTACTCATTCATACGCTGGCTGTAAGCTAACCTAAGTTGGCCAGCGTTCTCAGCATTGGTAGATCTGGCCCTTTGGAATCGCTTCCTCAGAGACTGAACCGACCGACGCTTCGCACCACAAGTGCGCCAGCGATTGCCCCCATCATTTTCACGCATGATGGAAGTGTAAGTGATGACAATCTCAATCGGATTGTGGTCACTCACACCGTTTCCACCCAGTACACTCCATTGAAAACCATACACACTCGTTGCCGCCACATTCGCAAGAGTGACATCAATGTCACTGTGACCCATCGGGCCCGCACGCGTGTACCACTTGCTGGGTTCGTTAACGACCCGGATATCCTGGGACACAGCCCACTCGGCCAGCACCTCACCCCTAGAGCGGTTCAAATACCTAGATGATCTAGATATCTTGCTGAACCACAAAGGAGACGGTGCATTCGCGTCAATACCAAGGATGAACGGAACGCTACTAGCCAGTAGTAGCACCTCATCCATATACGCGATATACGGTTCGAGGGGATCCCCGAACTTACAGTATACGCTTGCTACATACAATCTGCCAAAATTGCCACTAAGGCTCACACACACCCCAGTCAGTCGAATTCACAACAGTGCATTCGATACTGACATCATTCACAACGACAGCAGAATTGGCCCTGCTGTCAGCAAATACTCGCATACCCGCGGGCAATCCCCGTACCCAACCATTTGCCACATAGTGTTCCTGCAACAACGCAACTACGCTGTTCAACTGAAGAAGTCTGCTAGACATATTAATGTCTAGCACTCGCCCGCGCCACAATTGCACTGTACACAGAGCAATGTCTCCAGCCATCATAAGATGCTCAGACGGCTTCCCCTTGAATGTGCAATTGCGACAGTTTAATGCATTGCTGCACGGAGCCATGCGGTGACCCATTTGGCCGCAGCGACGACAAACGTCTTGCTTAAGCCCGCATTCCGCTACCTTGTGGTCGAAGCCAAGGCAACGCTAGCAACCCACTACCGGGCCAAAGTTTCTCACACGAAATGAGAACCATTTAACGTAACAGCGTCCGACATCCAAGAGAGTTTGCATGGCCAGGCCAGCACCATCGAGAACAACATTCACTGCTGCGCTACTCACCTTCGACCAAGGCTTACTGGCAATGCGGACACCTTTGGCAAAGGCCTCTTTGGACATCTTGTCCTTGAGGTTCAGCTCGTATAACTCAGCAATGAATTCGTCAAGCGAGATTACAGAGTGAACGCACTGCACAACAACTTTCGGCCCCAGTCTCTCTTTCACGCTCACTTCCAAGCCTACCTCGCTGAATTTTGCGATCCCCGCAATCTTCTTCCGCTCGGCAACGGATGGGGTGCGAGTAATCGCTCCACCATCCCGCAGAGGTTTCACCTCATGGACGCGCACACCTAAGGTAGGCCCTACCTCCTTCACTACCTTATCAACCACGTCCTTGGTGGTCTTACCAGCAGTTTTGCTGCGCACGACCAAGGAACAGGTCTCGACTGGTCGAGGCATCTCCGGGGCAGACGACATTGTCGACACGGGAGCCCCCCGGTGCACGGCTGCCGGCGAAACTCGCGTTTGGCCACCTGTCACATGCACAGCATGATCACTTGTCGCATTAAAGCGAACGGCTTCCAAACGCCCCTTAAGGCGCTCGTTTGCCGCCATAAGTGAAAACAATAGCTCCTCGTACTGCGTCGCGTAGTCTAAGACACTACCGACCAGTGCCCCCGTCATACACTCAGCGAGTGCACACTCTACTAGATCTTTGCTGATCGCCTTCATTTTTTCGATCGGCGTTCCCTTCCGCTTCAACGGTAGCTCATTGCTCGCCGAACACGCAGCAATGGGCTCCTCCACAGCGGGAACACCGGCACTCACACTAGGCGTGCCCGAATTGCACGCCTCACCTTTCTCTCTTGGCACTCTAAGGGTAACCACAAGATTACCCTCCGAGCGCCGCCCATCAACATTCTTACCGGCTGAGTTCTCAGCCGTCTCGGAAGTTGCCTTCCTCAACTGCTGCTTACTCAGCACATCCCTCCTTCTTACCTCAGCTTCGCTCGATGCTTTAGAGGTCACCAACATGTCGTCATCTGACGACACCATCTGCGCGTCCTTTGCACCTCGCTCCGCCGGCCTCTTCTTGCGTGGCGGCATCACCGCACGTGCAATCTATAAACAGATTAGTCACACACACACACGTAGCAAGCACAGATAAGACTTTTACACCTACACAAAAATTTGCATTTTTCGCAGAGCGAACGCAAATGCGAAAGCGAAATATCAAAACAAGCGCTTAAAAGTAAACAAGATCCCGTTACTCAAAAGTACCGTTATCTCTGATTCACCGCGATAGCAAAGACACGTCCGTTCGTTACCAAGTCTCAACTCGTACTGACAACCACTTTCGGCCCCAGCCTCTCTTTCACGCTCATTTCCAAGCCTACCTCGCTGAATTTTGCGATCCTCGCAATCTTATTCCGCTCGGCAACGGATGGGGTGCGAGTAATCGCTCCACCATCCCGCAGAGGTTTCACCTCAGGGACGCGCACACCTAAGGTAGGCCCTACCTCCTTCACTACCTTATCAACCACGTCCTTGGTGGTCTTACCAGCAGTTTTGCTGCGCACGACCAAGGACCAGGTCTCGACTGGTCGAGGCATCTCCGGGCAGACGACATTGTCGACACGGGAGCCCCCCAGTGCACGGCTGCCGGCGAAACTCGCGTTTGGCCACCTGTCACATGCACAGCATGATCACTTGTCGCATTAAAGCGAACGGCTTCCAAACGCCCCTTAAGGCGCTCGTTTTCCGCCATAAGTGAAAACAATAGCTCCTCGTACTGCGTCGCGTAGTCTAAGACACTACCGACCAGTGCCCCCGTCATACACTCAGCGAGTGCACACTCTACTAGATCTTTGCTGATCGCCTTCTTTTTTTTCGATCGGCGTTCCCTTCCGCTTCAACGGTAGCACATTGCTCGCCGAACACGCAGCAATGGGCTCCTCCACAGCGGGAACACCGGCACTCACACTAGGCGTGCCCGAATTGCACGCCTCACCTTTCTCTCTTGGCACTCTAAGGGTAACCACAAGATTACCCTCCGAGCGCCGCCCATCAACATTCTTACCGGCTGAGTTCACAGCCGTCTCGGAAGTTGCCTTCCTCAACTGCTGCTTACTCAGCACACCCCTCATCGTTTGGTAAATGAAAAACTGTACAATTGAAGTTGTGCAAAAATATATAACACTTTTCGCTTAACAAGATTTTATTTAAGTTCGACTTTATTTTACATTCTAGATACAAGAATAAAAAGCCAAACAAATAGAATTAGCAGGATTGGCAGGGAGCTATCCGGTCGGTGCAGAGCTGCTCCAGAGTTCAGAACGCATATCTCGGTGTCCGCCACTCGTTGATTGGATTGGCAACGGCATTCGCCCCATTTGCACTGCATACTTGACTCCAGCAAGTGTTCGGGCTCCATCCGCTGGCAGTCCTCGTTGCGGCGACAGTATGCACCGTAGGGCACAAGTGGCTCACAAATAGTACTGTTCGTCTTCTGATCCAGATATTGCTTAGTTCTAGCATAGTGCTTGCTACGGCAGCCACAGCGATTGGTTTGGCAAATACCGCCAGCTCCGAGTTGCAGCTGGCATTGGGCATGTGTCGTACAGGTGGCGTTATATGCAGAGCTCGACACGCAGAGAGTCATGTTGTGATTGGACACAGAGTCAATGTTGCAGGCGCATTTCTTGGACTCCGGCAAACAAATTGAAGCACCAATACTTCCGCAAAACGTACTGTTGCTGCAGTTTACATCTGTGGCAATGCATGACAGTTAATTGATTGTGATTTATTTCGAATTATTGGCTTATTTCATTTACCTAGGATCGCAATGCATTGGCCCTGATGCGGCTCAAAATGTTCCTTGCATATGCAGCGCTTCCGCGATGTGTGGCACACGGAAAACGTGTCTGCCAGCTGGCACTGACGCGACATCTCACAGCGACCATCGAGCGCCACTTGCTGTGGCAGGCAACGACGCTTGTCCACGCTGGGCACGTGGTTGGCGGCGCAGTAGCACTGCTGTGTCTGTACATCACATTCGGCACCCGGTTGAGTACAGGGACACGGGCCGCCAATGATGTTGCTCACCTTTTCATCCTTGGGTTGACATTCCATGCGCTTGTCGCCGCCATGTGCCGTGCAAATGCAGCGCGAGTCCTGGCAGCTGGCGTGTTCATACTTGGCGCACTGCGCATCCGTGATGCAACTGAGCTCGAGCAGTTCCTCGGCTGAAGCAGAGGTATTCAGTAAACAAAAGCCAAGCAATAAAATGCTCATTAGTTGCATTGTTAACATCTCTTTTCTGTAATTAGGTGCATACAAATCAAAAGGGCGCCATTAACCGTTAGAATTGCCACGCTCATATCGATATACGGTAATTTTCCCGCCCGATATGGTAGCACTGCAGTTGACAGCACTTACGACATTTGCCAACACTGCGACTATCGATAACACACACACATCGACATTTAATATAAACATCTCTGGTTTTCCATAAAAGCTTATAAAGCAGAGCAATCGTTTGCTGCTATACAGTTAAATTCTCGTAAATAACGCAATAACTTGTGAATTTCCAGTTAAAAGAAAAATAACAAAAATAACAAAATGGTTCGCCGTGGACGTTCTGCTAGCCCTCCACCATCGACCCGACGGTAAGTTGTGAAACGCACCGACGCCAGTAAAACGTAACAACATCCACTTGAACAAAACAACGGACTAAGGATTAAATAGACACCGAAAAAGCAAGAAATATTTTCTGGTTGCTGCAGCAATAAATATTTTTTTGCGTGTCTCTAGTATGACATTATTAAAGTGCAAGCGATTCAGGGAATTGTAATGCGCTTTCTGGAAGTTTCCGCGTTACGTAACCTAAAAACAGATAAACACGGAAGACGACGACGACTATGCAACGTACAAAGTTCAAAAGTGTGGCAACAACAAAGATAACAAAAACAATATTTGTACTATATATGTGTGTATTTTTATTTTGCTTTGCAGCAGTGCACCCGCGCCAGCACCGGCACAAGTGCCGGCACGTGCTGCCGCACCACCACCGGCACCAATGGCAGCACCACCCAGCGCTGTGGGTATGCCAGGAGCTCAGCAGCCATCGATGTTCCAGCAGATGGCCGCCACCGCTGGAGGCGTTGCCGTCGGCTCTGCAATTGGCCACACTGTCGGCCATGGACTCACATCGATGTTCAGCGGCTCCGGGGATAAGGAGGTGGCAGCACCAGCCGCTGCCGCACCGGTTGGCCAACAGCAGCAGCAGCCATATTATGCGCAGCCGGCACAGGCCAATGAGCCTCAGGGAGCCTGCGCCTGGGAGATCAAACAGTTCCTGCAATGCGCTCAGGGTCAATCCGATCTGTCGCTCTGCGAAGGCTTTAATGAGGCGTTGCGGCAGTGCAAGGTGCAGCATCATCTACAATAAATAAACAAATACCCGCAACAACTGAAACAAAAACCAATAACATCTACAAACGCTTAAATCAACAAAAACCAAATTCTCTGATTTCGACTAATGGCGAAAATGTTGAGCTAAAGTAGTGTTTATTCTTATCCTTCTTTTTTGTTTCAATTAGTTATATATACGTAATCAGTTATATTGTTAATGAGACAGCAAATTGTTTAATTTAGTCAATTGTTCAATAGAAATTCGAGCAACAACGTTCGGCAGACCAGAAGATGCCGGCGTCGTTACTCACAAAAAAAAAAAAAAAAACATGTTATTAATTATTATTAATGTTTCATGTAAATTTGCATAGAATTGTGAAATGTTCCATTCGCTATTTAGGTGCCAAAAAACAAAACAAAAAAAACAAGCAAGCGGAACACGTGAGCGCCAACGATGACCTTGCACTTTAACGACGCAGTGCGTCCCAAAATAGCCGCTCTGATTCATGCTGTGGGGGAAATAATGAGGGGGGAGGCAGTTGAAAATTTCGAGTGCTCTATTTAATTTTTGTTGTCATTGTTTTGATTTGGTGCGCCAATTGAGGTTTGTTTTGGTGAAATGCTTTCGCGTTGACCAAGTAAACAGACTCAATTATGATAAACATACTGACTATATATGTACATACATATATGTAAATATATATACATATATGTGTGTGCGATTTGCACGCATTATTGCTCTTTTGAAATTGCTCAATTACAATTTTCAAATCGATTCTAATCGTTTGTTTTATTTATTATTAATATTGCACACAGCTTCTTCATATGACTTCATACATATTTTAGATAAAATGCACATTAAATTGAATACAATTGTGTAACTTTGAATTTGGGTAATCGATGTATAGAATTTAGTTTTGAGCACAATTAATCAGAATATCGCACTGTGATGCTGGAATATAAGACTAATGCAGTTAGATTGTGACAATTGTCTAATTATAAATGTTATTATAAATCCAGCCACAATATTCTTGTTGCTACTTAGATGTCGTTCAAATCCGGCTTGATTTCCAAAAATGATCTATCTTCCATTACAAATGCTGGACGATAGTTGACACTAAATGATTGACTTAGATTTCTAACGAACGGATAATTATAAATCAGAGGTTTCTTGAGTTGTTTCTCGAATTTGCCATCGTACAGATTGCTGCGTCCCTCGATGCTGCTGGTAACCAGCTTAAACAATGGACCAGTCTTTTTAAATTTAATGCTTCTGCATTCCATCAATGTCTTCTTGTCCAATAGATCTTCCAGGAGGTGGCCGAGATTTTCCCGCTTCTCTCGTTTTTTATTCATCATTGTTGGTGGCTTTGGCTTTGGCACACTTTTAGCTTTCTTCAGCTGGCGCCGTTTGTTGTTCATGTTCTCATTGGGCTGCGTATTTGAATGTGCCCGGATGCAACCCGACAGTCCAAAACTCTTCCTCGGCCCATACGATTTGGCCAGTCCGTGCAATGTGCCCGTCTGCCTCTGCTGCCGACTAACATTTGAATTATTTTTATCCATTCCCTGCTGAATCTTCAGATGAGTCGGCTGCGCGATGTGGAATGCTTTTAGACGTGTCTCGTATGATTTATTGCCGTGTTGAGTCTGCTTTGGCGACTTGAGGAATCTCACCACTGGTGTGCTCTTCTTGGGCATCAACGGATGCTTGCACTTGAAATACTGTACACAGCCGGTGCGTCTCGGTATGGGGAGAACTGTCGTCAAGTGTCGCTGTGGCTTGAGCTTGGGTAAAACTCTGCTTTGGTGTTCGGTTTTTCCTAATTGTTGCTGCTTCTTGGCAATTTGAAAAATGGGTACCTCAAAGCGTTTTTTAATTATTTTCCTCTGCAACTCAGGGAGTTTTGTAATTTTTCTCGCATTTTCTTGGAGTGTGGATCGCTTTGGCGAGTCTTTCCTAAGATGAAAAATGGGCACTTCAGGCCGTGGCACCTTGTCAATTTTGAGCTTCTTGCCCAGCTTTGGTAACTTCACCGGGCTGGGCAGTCTTGAGCGTTCCGTTGAGAATCGCTTGCCAGTCCTGGCTCGGTCCAATCTATCGTTCATGGTGGCAATTGTACGCTGGGCATGCAAACTGGCCCAGACATTTGGAGTGGGCAGCATCTTTTCATGCGTGGGCAACGTTTTTTGAAACTGACGCGTAGTTAATGGCAGCCGTAATTGACCAAAATTTGGCTCATTCGTCACATCAATTGGAACCTTTTCTAAAATGCCTAAGCTCGAGCGTCGTCGTCGCATTGCGGAGGACATTTTGCGCATTAAACGACAACGCAGGGATCTGTATGCGGAGCGAAGGAATGAGAGAGGACTCGGCTTTACCATTTCTGAGTTATGTGTTTTCATTAAGGCTCGGTGCCATGGTTCGCAGCGGCTGAAAGCTGTTAAAAAAAAAAGCAAAAACGTCATACTTTTTTTAACTTATGTTCATAGTACTCACCTCCCCGATTTCGCAGCAATGTGCCAAATCCTTGCAGACGATTCATTTTAGGATTTCAAGAAACGACTGTTTACCTAAAATAATCAGCCAATTTACAGTTATACAAAAACTTTATAATTTGTATTTTAATTCAAGAAAGCGATAATATCTTTATCTATATGGCGGATAGATTTGATTAATTTGATATACGTGTAATGCATAAAAATATGAAAGTTTTCAAATTTTGTCTGAGCTTGATTAAAATAATTTTACTATTACTAGTCACAGATGACAATGAAAATATGACAAAAAAAAAACACAATGATATGAGTACGAAAATAAAACTGACATAGAGAAGTTAAAGGATGAAATACACATACTTTGTATATATTGATGCCTGCATATTTGTATAAAATCAAACGTACGTAGCACCGCGTATTTTTTAGTTGAATGCTTCATCGATAGCCACAACATTGTATGCTCATCTAGAACTGATTCCGATAGCACACAACTATCGTGTATTGCTTCCAAAGTGTAATCGATACGATGAATTTGCAGTGCGTGATAAGCTTCAATTGCGAACATTTAGTTTTGTTGTAATAATATTATTTTCCCATGACGGAATTAGGTTTCCACTGCCAAAATAAGTGCAAATACCCTATAAACCAAATAATATATTACTTTTTTACCCGACGTTAGCTAAGCCATAAAATTCAGTTTTGGTGTTATCTTGAGCGCCACTATTCAAACTAAGCCATGTTTTTGTGTGTACCATAAATAAGATAGTGAGCACCACAAGTCATTGCGATCTTGAGTCGTTGCTTCAGAAATGAGTTAAAACAGGTAACTCTTGATGAAAACTTGTATGTTCGAAGTTTGTTTTTTTGGCTATGTAATATGTTGTAACACATCTTGCATATCAGTATTGATAACATATCTATCGACTTGCATAGCTATCGATTACTTAATTAATCGAATCAAAGAAAAAACATAAAAGCATAAATGTATTTACAGTTAACAAACAGAATCAACTATAGCAGTATAAGGTGCAGTGGTCTGAAAGGAATACACCGAAAAGTGGCAATAACAAAAGCGATATTCTGTAAGTTAGATTAATTATTGTCATTGCATTCCGATTTTAATTTCGCGCGCTGTATAGATGTAATTCTTTGAAGTGGATATGTATTTAAAAAAAAAGAACTAGAAAGCGTCGCCGCGGGTCGGCTTATATGAAATATGAATGTGATGTGTGTGTATGTGTGTAGCTTTCGTGTTTCAGCGCGCGTGTGTGTGTGTGTGTAACACATAACAACAAATATTGACCATCAATGCCATAGAGACGCTGAGCAAATTAAATTAGAAGCGTTGCAATGTAAACATTGGTGACGTATTCATACATGCATGCCTGTATATGCATCCTTATCCTATGTGGCAGCCAATGCCCATTTATTAACAGCATGAACAACTACCCTTACAACTAAGCTCTTGCCACCCACTGTCTATTGGGCTATTTATAAACCGATTAGTCTGCTTGTCGTAGAAATTAATTAAATTTAGGATTGGCTACCAGGGCGTTCGGTGTATGCATAAGCTTTGTTAAATATATTTATATATGCATAAATATATTTATATATATATATATGTAATTTATATATATATATATAATAATATATTATGTAAGAGAGTGTCTATGTGCATTTTCCGAATCACAGTGTCGAACTTGTCTCAAAGTAACAAATCAAAAAAGTTACAAGCGGCCAGCGGAACTCATCAACAACTAGCGACGATGCCCACGCTGTTGACTGACCCTGACCAGTGGCTGTCATTATAGGGGTGGAAGGTGCGGGTGATTGGGGTGGCTTTATCACAATTCATGCTGTAACAGAGAGCGTCACTGGCACGGGCTGACCTTGGGCAAGAGAGGCAGTATTGTGTGTCGGAAATATATCACACACACCGGGCCAGTGAAATAGGTGTGAAGACGATGGCTTGTGAATTTTAAAATTTCAATATAATCTCCAAAATGTAAGATGTTTATTTCAAAGTATGTCAACATTGTTTCTGAGTCTCTGGCTAACATATTTTCTTGCACACTTCTTTGCTGAAAGGGTACCTGTTGTGGACTGGCGACTGGTGGCCAGCACCATACTAACTTATTTTTGTAGTCCATTTAATTCTATGACTAAAGTTTCTTTTAGTATCGCTTCTAAAAAAATTTAATAGATTTTCATCACTCCAGAGAATGTGGTGCCATTTTTGTGCACCCTTAGGAAAATACACAAGTTACCTTGTCTTTACACCTCTTCTACTGTCCAGGTGTGTATGTACATATAAATACATGTATTAATATATATTGGATATAATCTGTAATCGATACCAAGCGTTAAAGCATTGTGTGCCAACGAACGATTGGACTTTGAGCCCATAGCACTGTGAGCAGCGGTGATAAGACGTTGAGAGCAACGACAAGAATTGGATTGAATGGAATGCATGATCCATATATATGTACCCATATTCATACACATGTATGGATAAGAAGCTGCAAAACTGCCCTCACAATGTACATACATTAGGCAAAGCGATGATGCATTTAAAATGATGCTGCAAGTTTAAAGTCTTGCTACATAAGACTGATTATAGAAAGTGGGATTCAAAGTCCATCGTAGCTTTGCGATTGCGTTGGCTTTCAAATGATTTCGATTGAAAATTAACGTTAGAATGCATTTCGCTTTGTTGAATTTGTTTATTTATGTATAACTATCTAAGTTATCAGATTTTGTAATCAACAATTGAATTCTAACCTCAAATTTAATGCACTTAGACAAATGACGTGCAAATAGAAAATCTCGATATAATTTGCCCGATGCACTTGTAAACAAACCAATTTAGTACTCAGATTAGCAAGAGTAGATAATAACAAAAGAATAGACCTATTAAATGCTGACTGAACTAATCCGCAATAAACGCGACACCGTCAATGATAAGGCTGACAATCAAAGCAATAAAGTTATAAAGCAATAAAGTTATAAAAAACCAAATAGTTTAGCATTGTATTATTTAACTATCATAAATAGGAAGTGGGCTGGTTTCGCTATCAGCTACTGCTGTCAGTGCACCTCGGTAGTTTATTTGCGTTGTTTTTTGTTTTGTAATCAATCAGATTATCAATATTAATTTGTTCATACATACATACATACATACATACATGTATAAGTAATTACACATGTAGAACAAGTGGTTTCAAGAAAATAATCTTTACTCCCACTGGTAATACTCATCCACAGTGTAGCAAGTGGGGGCCAGCTGAAGAGTGAGCTGGGACCGGACGACGATGAACAATCTTGTGCAGGATATACAGAACAGATATTCTTTTCTGGGTAATCTGTTCAGTCACGTATGGAAATGCATTATTCGATCTAATTTGAAGCTCAAACTACAATTGCGTAGCATTCAATGGAAGAATGCAAAAGCCAAGCCAGGGTGTGCCTACCAGCCCACAGAGGTGACCACATTTACATATATGTATATCACAGACTTAACAATGTTTTTTCAATGCGTTCTCTAACATAATTTCAAATGCATAGATCGAGCAGGTGGCAAATGTCATAACTCATGGTATTTGGATAGTGCCCGCCGTGTTTGCGGTCATTAAGCTCTTTGAACGCTCCAACAGCTCTAGCCAGTATCTGGTGTCTTGGGTGTATGGCACTGCCTTATGTATGGTGTTCACCGTGTCTACATTCTTCCACTGTTCCTGTTACTGTGCCGAACAGAAGTGAGTCTATTTAAAATATATATATTTACATCGAAACAACAGCAATAACAATTGTATCTTTGAGGCCGCCCAAAAACTACAATGGTTGGTCCGCACTCGGCCGGCATACGTATCAGAGTTTGAAGAACGTTTTGCATCGCTGCGATCGTGCCATGATCTATGTGTTTATAGCTGGTTCATACTTTCCCTGGCTAACGTTGGAGAATACGGACCATTCGGCGATACTCTTTTGTATGGAATGGATTATTTGGCTAATGGCAGCCATTGGCATTGCTTATCAGCAGGTACGTTGGCTGTTATGATTTTTAATCCAGTGTGTTATCATCCACATCTTGTCCATTTACAGCTTTTCCATGAACGCTACAAATGCCTGGAGACATTCTTTTATATTCTAATGGGACTGGGTCCAGCGCTGGTTGTAATGTTAACGGGCCATCATTTTAATGGAATGTTGCACCTAAAATTTGGTGGAGCCTTCTACATACTGGGCATTGTATTTTTCAAGTCGGATGGCCTTATTCCTATGGCGCACGCCATTTGGCATCTTTTTGTGGTGCTCGCCGCCGGTTGTCATTACTATGCAATTTTGGTGAACCTGTATCCGAATGACGCCAATAGTCTAACGAACCAGTAGCTAAATAACGCCTTAGTCTTTATGGAGCGCATGGCTATAAAAGTAGAATCTTATGTACTTAATAGAAACTCGATCCCAACCTTATGACCCACAAAAGTTCCATTTTAATTCGAAATGATTTAATTGATTGTGTCTCGAGTCAGCCGGAATGCATTCCCTCCTACGTACCACCCATATAACTCACTGCTCCAATATTAGCCAAATTTTTTTTAAATTTATATAGAATTTATTTTATTAAATTGATTTGTATGTGTTAATTGAGTTTATGAAACGGATTTATATACCATAATAATAGTTGTAGTAAACTAGTATATTAGAAAATTCGATAGAAAAGCTAACGGATTGCTAAGATATATAAACAAAACCTTTCTTGTGATCAATATCTGCGGGCTTGCCAAAGAATTAAATGGTAAACAATTATTCTCAACTTATTTAGAATTCATATGATTATAAATATAATGTGGTGTCTATGGCGGTCTTTTTTTTAGGTAGACCAAACAACCTATGTATACACATTCTGTAGCGACAAAAGATTATTTTATGAAATGACTATAATATGATGCGTTATACTTACATATAACAAGCTCACATTTGACACTGTGTTTTTTTTAAGATTTTAAGAAATTGTACAAAATCTAATTGTAAATTATGATGATTGAATTCAACGCTGTTCAAAACACTAGAAGCCCGCCTAAAGAACATAATATACACATACATACATCAATTAATATGTATGAACATATTTAAATATATGTAATTAGTTGTAGACCATAAGCTAATCGTGAACCAATATTTAATTCAAATTGTTGGTCTGTTGTTAAGTGTGCTATTTTACCAAGTGTGCAATTGCTCAGGGATTACTTATGCAGGCCGGATGCTCCAGTCAATCGTGATGATGTATGAAGTGCGAATCACGAATAGAATGGGTTCGTGATAAGAGCACTTAATTTGTATATGCAATTGTTTTACGGATGCTTCGCGAATTTCGATATGAATTATTATACAATGAATTTGTGCTGAGCAGAATTAATACAATATAAGGAGTATGAAATGATAATTATACATTTATAAATTACTTAGCACATATACTATATACTATCTTTACATTTACTACATATATATCTATAAATCTATACAATAAATATATACCATGTATACAGGTTTATTAGATTTAAAAAAACTATCTAACCATATATTAAGTTATACCACATATTTTGTTGCAAGGTGAATAAAAAATTGTTGCAAATTATGATGTCAAATACTTGAATAGAATAAGTTCCCTGGATATCATTTGAAAATTGCGGCAAGCTATTAAAGCAACATTAAAATACAGTGCTGTAAAGAGACTTGCGATCACCGATATTTCTACTATCGACAATACAACAGGAGCAGACCAGCACGGACTACTGAAACTTTTGGCTATATCACAGTTTATTTTTAAAATTAAAATTTCAGATATAATTTGATAGAGTTTCAAAAAGACAAAAAAAAAATGGGTTTCAGGGTCCGTGACTTTTGAGTAATGACTTATTACCTTTATTAAGTACTTCAGAATATTATTCAAATAGTCCGATGTGAATATTAAAATATTGACTCGAACTATCGATACATCGATATGCTTCAATTAGCCTGCGAAGTAAGCGAATAGTTCTATTTAATGGACAAGGAGAGGAAATCCTATGAGGAGCTCTTACAAACAATAAACATTCGATCGCGCAGCTCTTCCACAGCGGAACAGAAACACTACCAACGCCAGCTGGAATTTCTGCGCAATATCGAAATCCAGACGCCTGCTGGGCCATATGGCGCAAGCAAAGCGACGCAGCTGGCACATCTGCTGACAGAAGAGGCGCTTTTATGTAGTTGGGATGTCGAAGATAGCTCCCTTAACCTGAGCCCATGGCTACTGTGGCTAAACGAGCTGCTCCAGAACCGGAAGCAGCTGCTGGGCGATACGCAACCATTGCTTCAGTGGCTGCTGCAGCATGCGGAGCAACGATGCAGGGTAGATGTACTAAAATGTCTTATTTCACTGCTGGACACACCAGAGGTGAGCGCAGCATGCACACTCTTTCCACGCTTGGCAGCCATTCCATTGTCAAGCAGTGTGGATGCGGCTCTGCTGCTCGTACTCTGCCAGGACAAGCTGTTCAGTGCATTGTGCTGCGCGAATGCAGAGTTGCAGGAGCCGGAATTGCAGGCGAGCGGCCAGTTGGCCAATGCACTGTTGCAACCGCATTACGAAGGTCGATGGGTAATGCGGACAGTGATGTCGACACAGGAGGAGCAGGAGCAGTTAACACTGCTGGTCGCACACTCGCTGCAGTTGCTGCAGAAGATAACTTCCCTGCATGCGGATTATGCACAACAACATGCGCCGGAGCTGCTCGGCCTAGCACTGTCCAATGTACGATGCACAGCTGAGGGGGGTGGGACGTCGCCGCAGCTGCCGCATCGCGTTCACCCCGCCCAGCAAGCGGCATCATATGGCCACGACGAGGAGAATTTGCCAGCTGCTGGCAATCAAAACACTGCTGCGGCCGGTCGACGCGTCAAGTCGCGCAAGATGCGCTCACTAACCAAACAGCGCAACAATGGCAACGTACAGCAGGAGAGCAGCGCGGCAGCAGCACCAAGTGCCTCTGTGTCAACTGGGCATAGCCATGGGGATCGAATGAAGCTGCTTTTGCTTGGCAACAACGACTATGGCTGTCGAACTCCGAGCGGCGGTGATTCCGAAGGTGGCTGCACCCCCACTTCCGATGGCGCCGGGGGGCAACAGCTGGCCGCCGGGCAAAACCGGCAACGGCGCCAATGTGAAGTTAAAGTCCGAGTCGCAGCGCTCCAACTGCTTGGGGCTGTCACCAAACAGCTGCCCCGTCGCACCCTCTACGGGTACTGGCATGTATTATTTCCCAGCGATGGAGGCGAGACCAAGGATTGCTTGTTGCACATCGGTTCCACTGATGGCAATGTGCGGTGTCGTGCCCTCGCCCTGCAAATGGCTGCACAGCTGTTGTACGGCTCCAAACCGTATTTGAGCCAAGCGAGCAGCGCTTCGGCGCCCAGCAACTATACGCCGTTTGCGTTGAGCCTGGCCAGCAGTGTACTGGCGACGTATCGTCAACTGACTGCCATACTGGAGCGTGAGTATGCGCCGCCGGTGCTGACGCAGTGCCTGAAATGCCTGGCGGTGCTGGTGCAAGCGACGCCATTCGATCAACTGCAAATGGGCATCGTCTATGAGTTTGTGCCGCATGTGAAAACGTTGACGCGACACGTGGACACCAGCGTTAAGGTGTCCGCGTTGCTCGTCATGGAAATGCTGGTGGCAACGCCGCGACTCACCCAGGAAATGGCATGTGCCGTGGGTCTGCCGCTAAGCGAGCGCCGTGCGCCCAACATGACCAACATGACAGCGATGCGCTCTAATCTGCACCAGCTGGAGCTAGAGCAACAGTTTCAACAGATTTGTGACTCCGAGGAGGAGGTGGAGATGGCGGAAGAGGAGGAAAAAGAAGTGGTCGATGACGCTGTAGGTGAGCAGTTGAAGCCATCTCATTCGCCCATTCAGATTGTGGCGCGCGTTCGCATTCCGCGCAATTCTTGGCTGTTGCGCCTGGTACTCCGCTATATGGACTGTCCGGCAAGTACAGCGCCGCTTCGTGTCGAGTGCCTGCAGGTGATCCTCGCCATGACGACGCATTTCTGTCTGCTACGCGAGCATTTAGTTCGTGTAGCCGATGTGCTGTGCAGCGCCTTGGAGGATTGCTCTTTGGATGTGCGACTGTATGGAGCACGCTGCCTCGACGCCGTTGGTTTTCAGATGGCGCGTCATGCAATGGAGCACACAACCGAGTCCCAGTCCCAGCCACACCCACAGCCACAGCCCGAATTGCAGCAGCATTATTTGAACTTCTGGCTGCGCATGCTGCCGGCCATCTATGGCGCGTACATGGATGCGACCAATGTGACAGCGACGTTGAGATGCTCCCTGTGCGATGCCCTGTCAAACATGGGTGGCAACAGTTTCGAACGTTTGCCGCAGGCACAGCGCAACGGTTTGCTCGCATTCCTCTTGGGCAGCAGCAGTGACGATGCCGCCGATCCTTTGGTGCGTGCGGCGGCTGTGCGGGCGCTGGCCGTTTATGTGCTACATCCGACTCTTCGCGTCGACCTGGTGTTTGTGGAGCATGCGGCTGAGCTGGCGTTGCGTCTAACCGCCGACAACCAGCTGGCTGTGCGAATTAAGGCTGCTTGGGCGCTGGGCAATATCAGTGATGCACTTGTCGCGCCAACCAGCCAACCAGCAGCTGGTCAGCCAGAGCAGAGTCAGGAGCAGCGACAGGAGGTGCAGGAGTTGGAAAAGGAACGCATCTCGCTAGCGCTGCTCGGGCGGCTAATCGAGGCTGCGGTGCTGGCCTGCGGTGACCATGACAAGGTGCGCGCCAATGCGGTACGTGCACTGGGCAATTTGCTGCGCCTGCTGCCGGCCGATGAGCATGCCCTAATTCAGCGAGCGATGGCCAAGTTGCTGGATTGTGTGCGCTCGGCGGGCAGTGCTAAGGTCAAATGGAACGCTTGCTATGCCATTGGCAATTTGGTGCGCAATCGGGCGATCTTCGCGACCAGCGCCAGCTTGGCGGGCACACTCTTTGCGGCGCTCAGTCAGCTGCTTGTGCAGCATGCGAACTTCAAGGTGCGAATCAACGCGACCAGCGTCCTGCTGCAGATCGAGCAGCGGGCGGATTTTGGTGTGCACTATGCCACCGTGTGGCGTTCGCTGCTGGAGGCCATCGAGCGCTCCAATGCGCTGGACACATTCGAGGAATACAATCATCGGGATGGATTGCAGCAACAGCTCTGCTTGGCCATGGCACATATGCTGGGACGGGCGCGGCCTGATGATTTGATTGCCTCCCGTGACGCATTGGAATCGCATCTGGACGGCGTCACTGGCACCTGGCGTCGTGTTGCCTATCGCATTGTGCCCGAGCAGGCGGCGCCGCTGTTTACATGCGGTTCCCTGCTGCAACAACGCCTGGATGCCGCTTCCCTCAGCGCTGAGCAGCGGAGCGCCCTCACATTCCTCGCCGGCGCATTGCGTCTGGAGAGTTAATGCTATCACACCAATATGTGTATTACAAATCACTACACATGCACACATAAATCGTGATTTTTGAAAATGTATTCTGATTGTATTATTTGCAACAATATTATGACCGTTTGGTTCTTACATCCTTAAATGCAGATCGATTGAGTTAGTCCCTGTGACTCTGTAAGGAGTTGGGCAGCTCGTCCATAGAGTTAATTTTATTCATCCGCTAGGAGGCCAGGAAATCAATCGAATCGCAAATCGAGAAAACCAAATATTTTCCACAATTGTAAAGCTACAGTTGGAAGGTTGTCGACATTGCCCACGCCCAATTCCGCCGAACCAAGCCTATGCCCATAAAATCGGATATGGCTATATATTACCGGTATTCGCTTTTAATTGTAAGATAAGATAATGTGTTAGCCACGCCTCCATTTTTCAAAGATATTGTCACCTGCAGATGACCCTATAATCCTTCAATCCAATTTTATAGAGAGAGAGACAGAGAGAGAGAGCGAGAGAGTGAGAGCGCGAGAGAGTGAGAGCGCGAGAGAGAGCGAGAGAGAGAGACAGAGAGAGAGAGAGAGAGAGACAGACAGAGAGAGAGAGAGAGAGACAGACAGAGAGAGAGAGAGAGAGAGAGAGTTCCTTAGAAAATCCAGCAGGAACTGACCGAATTATAGCTGTTTGTCTCAAAATTAATTGTCCCTGTGCACTTTTAAGATCCTGATTTTCTGATTCTTGTTTTCTCTACTGATTTTATTATTCATCCTAAAAAAATGCTTCAAGGTTTTGGATTTCTTTTTGTCACTTATACAAATATAAAGATTAGAAGACCTAATACATCTGAATTTAAGAAAACCGCTAAAATATTTTTTATGGAACTCTTTATTAGATGCATATAAGTATAGATATGCCATATGTGTACTATAGAGCGGGTTCTTTCAAAAATTATAAGCTACTTGTTCTAATTGTTGTTGTTGACTTGTATTTGTTCTTATAGTGTGTAAAGTATGTAAAGTTTAATTTACGCTGATTGCTGTTGTTTATGTCGTCAAGTTTAAACGTCAACACCAAAAGCTGCCAAGTGGTTATTGATGCTGTTTTATTAGTTTTAGCTAAAGTGCCTGTAAAATCTGTCTCTTGCTATTCATTTCATCAATGGATACAAATATGTAAATAGAGTGCGCTATATTAATATAATAATGTATGCATGTAAATATATATATATATGTGTATAAATGTATTTGTATAAATGACTTGAAAAAAGAGAATATTAATAAGATGCAAACGCTTTTAAATTAAGATGGCGGACTAATAGTTAAAAAAAAACAAAAGAGAATTAAACAGTAAGTTAAATGACAAGCGATCGCGCTTGTCAATAAAAAAAAACATTGCGTGTGCCACGTGGAGGCAATTGCCACTACTTCAATATGCATTTTATAATACCTGTGCTTCCATGTCGATCCGCATGCGAATCGACGACGACAGCCACATATTATAAAAAACACACATTCTCCCTACCCCCCTCCCCTACCAAAATTCTATAGCCCTGCCCAAGCTTGCCGTGTTGTTTATTATCTAGTTTCGTTCGCTCTTGCGATCATCCAAGACGGCTTGAAGTTGACTCAGATGCGGCGGCTGATCGAACCTTAGACGCTTCGTATCAATAGCATTTAGGCCGGGTTCATCGCCAAAGGACAACATACGCTTGCCGTTACCAAGCACCTTCTTGTTCATATCCTCCAATTTCTGTGAATTTTGTCAGTATTAATATATAGTTGGAAATTTGTGTTCAGTTAAACGCAATCGGTTACCTTGGCCGGACTGCAACTGATGATGTATTCAAGCTGATCTGGAGACTGTTGTATCTCATTCTTGGACATTTTTGTTACATAGAGGGAGTGATTAGGTATTAGCTTCTTGGGCACCGTTGTGCGCTCGATGGGATGTGGCGACAGCAGAAGATTTACATTCTGTTCAAATATAAATGTAAGGACGTGGCTAGCCACCCAAACGCTAAACGACAATTGACTACTCACGTCTGTATTAGCATTAAGACGGTTGGTGCAGAACTTTGTCATCTCTGGGACATACGTATAGTTGTAAAAGTGTATAATATCTCTATACTCGAGTTCACCATTCTCTTTGACGCTTATGAGCACCTCTCGATAGACACTATTGACCGCCTGCGGCTGATTGCGATAGGCGTGCATAATCTTACTAAATTTGGGTTCCAGCATTTTCGTAACCTGCATTGGAATAACGAAATGATATTAACGATTTAACATTGAAATGAGCAGGGGCGATGTGCTATATACGATATGGAAAAATGCAGCAAGCGGACATGTGTAGCCAAATAGTTAAGGTGCACATTAATATGTATATGTATTAACTGTATATAGTGGCCAGTTGTCGTACTTACTCTTATGTATATATATATTGCACACATAATGATTTGGTCGAGATGGCGATCTTGCAGTAGGTGAATCTTGTTTGTTATTGAATTCTCGAATATGGTCCAAATCTTTTCGGCTTTCGTCTCACCAAGATTTAGTTCATTGCACAGTGTCAAGATACGAGCCCAACCGAGCTGATATATCTTGCGCAGAAAAATCTGCAGTGGCCCGGCTGTTCTACCTTCGCACACTTCCATGTAGGGGGGCAAAGGATTGGCCGCACTGCCAATAATATCCCAGGCTGGCGAGATGCGCTGCCAGACCAGACGCTCCAGGCATGTCTCCTCAATAGAATTCAGATGCTTAACCAAGCTGCGCGTCAGACAGTCCTTTCCATTACGTACAACGATTTCAATGATCTTAAAAAATTCGAACGCATTAATACTGAAACACTCCAGAATCCAGGGGAAATTGAGCTCCGTGTTGTAAGCATAGAGCACCAGCTCCGTGCAACAGGTCATCAGTGTCACATTAAATATGTCCAATGAGATCCTGCGCATAATTTGCGGCTTGTTTTTAATCTCGGCACGGAGTATGTGATCCATCAGGTAGAAATACAGCGATTTGGCCAAACGGAATCGGTTCTCAGCCTCGCTGCGCATTGGATACTTTGCGAGAAACTTGTTTCCCATTTGCTCAATAATCTTTAATATCTTCGCAATATGCTCTTCGCCAGCCTGTCTGTAATGAGAGATGGATGGATGGATGCATGGTATATTTCACCATTCATTAAAACCAACCAAAAAATGTGATTCGGCCATGTTGTGTAACCTACTTGACAAATTCGGTGGGCTCCGTAATGCGACTAATGGTAGCACTCAGCTTTTTTACATTGTTGGTGGCATGGGCCACTGGCTCGAACTTTTGTTCCGACATCACGGACTGGGGAGGTAAGTCCTGTTTGCGTGTCAACGGCGTTACTGGGGGACGCAACGCCTGCTCGTTAAGATTATTGTGCTCGCCAGCGTCTAGCTGATAGGCGGCCAGTATGCGCTCGTCAAACTCACCCACGCTCAGCACATACTGTTCGTAGCTGACGTTTAGAGATCTCAGATTGCGTTCAAAATTTTTATTGGCCACTAGGCCGAGCAGCGTCTCTTCCTTACCAAAAATGGTCTGTAATGTTCACAAACAAAAGTTAGTAGCATTCATTAGTATCATCGCTAACAGCTGCTGCGGTTGATGCTTACATTCGCTTGAAAGAAGCTGTGCATAATGTTACTGAAGACGGTCGCCTTCATGGTTTTAGCCTCGTCTGTCATCTCGCAGAAGTACTTGAGTATACAATGATTGCGGGCTTGCGTCTCGTCAAAGTGTGGCGAATTCCAATTTGGTGGCAAGCCCTCAAAGTTCGGGTTAATGAGATCAGTGCGTTTCTCGGCCAGCACATTGGCGTAGATGAGATCAATGCAGCACATCATAAGATTGTACGATGTGACCAGATCAAGCGTTGTCGTCGGCTTCTGATTCTTGCAACATAGAAACAGGCGCCAGCAGATATCGTCCAGCTTGATGTAGGAGCATTTAGTGCTACAAAATAGATTTATTGATGGCTTCTTCTTCTTTGCACATGGGAATTGGGATTGTATCGAAGGGGACATAGACACACACACATACCTGTATTTTGAGTACTTCTTCTCGTTGGGCGGGCAGAAAAACACTTGCTCGAATATCTTTCTGTACTTCTTGTAGAGCGTGAATGTGATGAAAAACTTGCGCTCTAGCTCCTCCATTTGTTGGATAAATTCTTGCGGCAGATTGGCCATGTCGCACCACAGCTTTATCCTTGGCGTAAACTCGTAGATGCTAAACAATAAGAGAGAAAGGCAAGGCGGGCAATGGGGACAAATGCCACAATTTCAACAACTAAAATGGTAAATCAAAACAGTTAGCTACGCACCTCATCTGACAACTGCGCAGCAAATTGTTCAATGGCACACAATTGCCCATAACGACAGTATCTTGGCCATCTACTGTGGGCGTTGTCGATTGACGGCAGGCTGCGAACAGAGCACAACAGAACCAATGCCCGATCTCCCCCTGCACATGCAAAACCAAATCAGTGTTAGTATCAATGTGCAATTACAAATATATATATATACACACACACACACACATGTGTGTATGCACATTATGTACGCACCTCCAAAGAGTAATGCTGCAGCACTTCGTTGAGCATTCGAAATGCGTCGACCTCGGTCTGGCGATCCATGTTTAGATCACGGCATAGATTTTCAAATTTGCTGCGCATCGTCTCAATGCCGTCGTCGATGGAGACGCCGGCGCTGGTTACCACCTCGGCGCCGAGCTCCTGCTCTTGTACATCGTTGCTCATGTTGATGGCGTATTGACGTATTCGTAACTTGTAATTGCAAATGCAAATGCAGATGCACATGCAAACTTTTCACACAATTTTGGCTAGGATTGAACGTTGCTGCTGACGGCAGCAGCAGCGGCGGGCGCGGCCGCGGGTTCACCTCGATAAATGAGCGCGCGACTGCAGCAGTAATAGCAACAACAACAAAGACGTAACGTTGACAAGTAAACTTTTCACTTTTTCACAGCGCAGCGTGCGCATTGAGTTTGCTGCTTTTTGATTTGCACACCAATTGTTGCTAAATGCGTATCGTTTTTTCCTTGAGATTAGTCGTCTTGTTGTCGTTTGAAAAGTATGTCGGTACCACTACGACGTATTAATTAATTTGCAAGACCCAATAGTTTCTCCCAAAAAGGCGGGAAGACATGGAGAGCTGCCAGACAGTTGACTACTGTGGGGGATATTTATTTTGGCGCCAAACGTAAAATATATCGGCGATCTAGCAAAATGATGCAATAGATAATAATATACCAAAATTAAAGAATACTTCATTAATAAAATGTTTCGTGAAGGTCTATTGAATAATTTTTACTTGGCGTGATTCTCTGAAATATACGGCAACGCTACACTAACTAAAGACAGCTGGGTTAAGCAAATGGCGGCAACTCCAAGGCAAACAGCTGTGCGACGACGACCACGACTACAATAGGCGAATCAGTGACGTCACGCAGCACGCGTGGAAATTTTTCAAAAATACGTAACTTTGTTCACATTGTCTGCATTATCATCAGCATCAGTTGCAGCTGTTAATTGATAGAAAAATTTGTCTGCAAAGGAATAAATTAAAAACAAATATTAAGAAGGAATTAGATGACGTAGTTGTTATTTTTAATGATCTGCTTGTCGATGAAGATAGAAGGGATGGCTGAAAGAGCTGTGCAGAGTGAATGTGCAACTATGGCAACTGTGGCAACTTTGGCAACTGTGTGTCAATGTCAGCGGGCTGTGAAAAATGCACTTGACCAATGAGCTATATCTCAATTCAAATTAACGATAACTAATCACATGTTAAGGCATTAATGAACTATTACCACCCCTCTCAATGGGCCATCAATTTATTAAGAAATTAAGTTTCATTGCTAAGACTTTCAATTTTTTTTTTACTGGCAGACCAATCAGAGGCATGATGCTGCCACTTTGGAAATTTTGCCCTACAATTTTTGTACAATTGTAGGGTGTTATTATTTTGTGGTAAAGTTTAAAACGCATAGTTTATATATATTCTTGATCAACATCACTAGCTTTTGTCGTATATATAAAGCTAGATATCCTGACCAATCTTACAACATAATTAAGTTCCACACATTTGGCTAAAAAATCACTATGATTATATCAAATATCTCCAATTGGAACAATCGATGTAATAAATGTTTCAAGGAAATAACCATAAAAATGTGGAATATTCAGTTATATATGAATATTGAGGTTGTATTTACGCTGCAAATAACAGTGTATATAAGTTAACCATGGACTATCCGCTTCCTCAGTGGTCAGCAGCACTTGGCCCAGATACCCAAATACGTTGATGCAACATTTCCCATGGGCAACGAACTCAACGGTCAGCGATACTTTGTTGTAGAATATCCGGTGGGTAACTTGAGCGACTGCGCTAGTTGCTAATGCTGCACTTTTCGGGATCGGCCTCGACAGTGGAACAGATTCTTTAAGATAAGAGATTTCTGATATTCATTTGTGTATTAGTTCTAATCATACTAACTAAGAGAGACGAGGTGCTCTTTAAACAATAAAGTACATGATAACTCACAATTGCGTTCGAAGCCACCGAAGTACTAAATGAAGTAAAACCAAAGCTAACTTATACCCTTTGTTAAAAAATATTGATCTATCTAGGGAAAGAAAAAATCATAAAATCAATGTTACGCGATGTATTGTCAAGACAATTAATAACAATTTACATATCTAGGTGAATGACAAAGCCAGTGACTAATATCGATGGGACCAAATAAAAGCTATGGTTACGCACTGGTCCTGCCATACTATTATTATTAACATCGTTGTCGCGAAGAGCCGCTTTTGAGCGCTGGGACGGAACTGGGCCCAAAACCAGACTCCGAGACAAATTGCCTGAAAATGAAAACTGTGCGCTCGTGCAGTGGCAATAAAAATGCTTTGGGGCCAAACTGTGCGGAAAAACTGCGACTGGGTAAAACAATGACGAAAAAAAGATGCAAGAGCAGTGACAAAAACAATTGACACCACCTAATCAAGTCGAATTTTGTATACGCTCGCATATTGCATACTCAAAGATATGCAGGCCTGTGAAAGCTGTATGAGTTTTCAGTCTATGCCCCGATTTTAATGCCCATTTATATAGAGTATACTCATATATTTAAGTGTGCTCACACTGACAGAATAACTTACTTGAAAATTAATGAATTATTTACAGATATATACAGATATATTTTAGAGCATGACAATGAGCAAAAGCGCTATCAGAGCAGCTACATCTTAATATACTCGATATACAATATTAAATACATAATTTTCAACATTTTTGTCCAGTGTATGCATATGGTTGAAGCGAAGTCTAAGGGAATATTCAGTGTAAGCACAAGCACAAGATAAACACGACCCAAGGGAGATTTGGCTGCAACTTTCGCGCTGTCAACTATGTACGAGTATGTGCGTGCGAGTGTTAGCGTGAGCGTGAGCGTGAGTGTGCGTGTGTGTTTGTGTGTGCGTGTGTTTGCAATATGCATTTGTTTATTTGCACACACACATTCTCTCTCTCTCTCTCGCATACACACACACACACACAAACACACATAGCCGCCGGCCACGTTTAAAACATGGAACATGGCACTGCAGCACTGTGGTCCTGCCCACATCAGCTCATTCACGTTCAGTGCCACGTCAGTCACACTCATACATACACACGCAGATACACAACCAAACAAACACACATGCAAACATGCAGAAATGCTGACTTTCCGCCATATTCACAGAAAAAGTTGATCCTTTGCAAACGGCAACATTTTGTAGTCAGTTTCAGTTCTGTATCACTGCCCACATACCTTTGTAACACCCCCTCCCCTCCCCTCTCCTTCACAACACCCCTCACAACCGCACACCTTTTATTATATCGCGTCATATGTCCCATCAGAAACTGTAATTCATGTAAACAAAATGAAAATAACTTCAATGCTAACAAAAACCAACAACATGATGAAGCAGACAAAGGCACAATATTGTAAAAAACACATAGTTATGTATTTTGTATACATATGCTAGATATATGTACATGTGTGCATCAGTATTTGGGAAATATATACTCAAATTGCTTTTGAAACGAAACCGCAAACATTTCGGCCCTGGAATTGTAGTGATGAGGTTGCAACGTGGATATTCAGATACGATTATTTATATCGCTTCTTCCTTTGTGGCACTTGCTTGCTTTTAATTTGCAATCACATATCTTAAAGCATTTTTTTTGTTTCGGCTTCGGCTTTACCTTACTGTTTAATTAGTCCTTGACTAATTAATGACTCCCAACACAAGGAAAAATGTGATTGACAAGCGGTTAGATTATAAGCGACATCGGGTCAAAAACAATTCTGTTTTTTTGCTTGTTTTACACAGGGCTTCCGAACTATGATATACCCTAGGTCACAGTAATTATTAATATATTGCAACAACATCACAACGTGATCTCAGTAAGAAGACTTAAGATTTTCTATTGAAGAAAGTATGATTCATTAAATAAGATTACACATTTTTTATTCTCTGTGTACAATTTAGCATAATTTCCCAGTTCAAGCCATTGTTGATCAAATCAATAGATCAAACACTTCACAAATTCAAGTAAGTCTCCCTTTCTAACCCATTTGCGACTGCAAAGTATAAAAAAATACTTTGAGCTTTTGCCAAAAGGTTTCCTGGCAAATTGCGAGGCTTGTATTTTTTGTTTTTGTTTTGGACACCAACCAAGGAAGCTACCATCCAAAGCTTTTGGCCGCACATCGTTTCTTGCCAAAATGTATGGCCGCACATTATTTAAAGGGCTCCCCTTGCGGTTGTTGTTGCCACTGCTTTGGCTGGTAAAACAAGCGCGAAAACATAATGAGCATATGAATAGACAAACAATCACCGGCAAACTGGCTGCAACAACAACATTGTGTTGACCAGACACCAGCCCGCAGCAGCCGCTGCTTGCTTCCAGCGCGAATTAAATCCTTCCCCTACCCCATCCTCTCTCTATGCCCACCTACTCTGCAACCATTCTCTTCGACTGAAGCCAATTCACCACACATTGTTGAGTTGAGTTCTGATTCTGCTCTTCCTGCTCAGCGGTGGATTCGTGGTCTTTTTCAGTTGGCAGGCAGCACTGTTGCCGAGCACATCATGTCCTTACATCTTTCTATCCGTACTATAAATATCTCGTTATTTTAGTTGTATCTTAAACTTACAGTAGTTGTTTATAATTGTAATTAGAATTAAATGATTAAATGATCCAGATGAATTCCTTCGTGTAGCACTGTGTGTCTAATTAATTCATTTAATAACATCCAAACAGCTTCCTTTAATTAACATTGGTTTTCATCCTTCAAAATTTCAGTTAACGTCCCTTTTAAAGAACACGAAGCGAGTTATATTTATACTGTAAAATTATTTGCAATTTATATAATAAATTTAATAAGTAAATAAAATAATGAGATGTAGCAATTGCCCATTACCATTACCATTACACCTTTTTAATACCAATCTTCTTCACTTTCAAATTGACATGCCATTCAAAATTAGAATGCCATTTTTCTTATCCAGACACAAGCCTAAAAGTAAATTCAATTAAAGTAAGTATTCACCGAATATGTAATAATTTATCCTGGTTTTATATCTGTTTTGTTGTTGGTTTTAGGAGTTTAGTAAGTGTCGCATCCATCAATTTTCTATATTTTTGTTGTTGGATGCGTGCAGTTTAATTAATTCTTAAAAATCATGACAGATAAATCTTCGGTGTTTGTTTGACGAGCGCTTAAATGAAAATGTTACCGAAAATTGTGGGCGAACAAAAATAAAATCAATGACAATTAAGACGAACCAAAAATCGGTGTTCAAAAATGGTTGACGACAGCAATTAAAATATGCAGCTGCATATGTATAAAAATATATATAAGCAACAAGATGTAATACCTTGCTTAGGGTATTAAGGATTTATCATATAATTGGAACCATATTTCATTTAATATAATTTCTAATTTGAACAAGCAGCTTCACATTGATCAATGCACAATTGTTTATTTTGTATAGAATAGTCAATATTCCAAATATTCCTTATTACTGCAGCATAACAGAAATCGATTCGCTCGCAAGAGCATTGAGTCTTCGGCCTACCTTAATTTTCATTATTTTATTTGTGGCTATCTCAATTTGAGTCGAGGTCTTTTTATTGCTTTATGCTTTCATTTCCAATGGATTTTATTTCAATCGTCACCACGTTCATTGCAGGTCTAAATCGAATTTGGACACGCTTAGATAACTTTGAGATTTATTTATTTAACAATTTATTCGGCAAGTCTAGCAATTTGTTGGATACATTTTTAATTTAAAAGCGTTCGTTTATTGTATGAATTTCATTTTAGTTCAGTTTAGCCAGCTTATTAAATCGCTTCAATTATTTTGATTTAATTCAAATGTGATTAGAACTAAGCAATTTTTGAAAAATTCACTTTAATAATCGAAAAAATAAAATAATTGAAAATGAGTAGTTTTCAGTATTATATTTATCGCATTTTATTTGACTTAATTA